CTTAGATGGGTAGATAACTACTCAAAAATGACAAGCATGGAGATATATGACAATCACTTTGTAACTATACCAGTGCCAGGACCCGCTCCAATCCAATACTTCTAACCCTTTTCCTTAGAAGAACAATAAATCTGTGCTTGCTTGCCTGGATACCTCCCAACACTCCTACCTTATGCACTGACTCCTATTTTACATACAGTAAACAAATATATACAATGTAAGCATACAGACAAAACAAATGTAAATATAAAAAGATCGCAGATATAAGAATAAAAAATCTTGGCTATGATCTCCTGCACTTTGAAAACCATCAGTTTTACCAAGCAGGGCTTCAAATATTTTTACATGCGGTAAAAAAAAATCTTGCTTCTTTGTCTTAGTGAAAAGTTGTCAGATGACAGCCAATGTCTTCAAGGTGCCTGGAGTAAAAACAACAGATGCATCAGCATAAAAAAAATTGCTTCAAAAATGTTCTGATAATGGGAAATAGAGCCACAACGGACGTCAATACACTGAGGCTATTAGCAGGTCAGCAGGTTGCATTAATTGCCAGAAGAGTCGCCCTCCAAGGGTCCTATTAATGCAGATTTAAATAGTCCACTCACATTTTTTTCCAAGTTTGTTTTCTGACACACCTTGTCTGTCTTTGCATGTTGCATCCTCAATGGTTTGTCAGTTCTAATGTTACATCAATATCAATTTATCACGCAGCAAAATGAAAGATTAAAAAGAAGTATTAATGAAATCTCCAAACAGTTCCACAGATATGCAGTGCTGTGAAAACGTATTTGCCCCCTTTCTGATTTTTTTTTTTTTTTGCATTATTTGCCACAGTTAAATGGTGCAGATCAATAAACAATTTCTAATTTTACACAAAGAGAACCCAAGCAGATACAAAATGCAGTTTTTAAATGATGATTTCATTTATTAAGAGAAAAAAAAGCTGTCCAAACCTGCCTGGCCGTATGTGAAAAAGTAATTGCCCCCTAACCCTGTGCCACCCTTCAATCAAGTGTTTGAAAAAACTGGCAATGAGGAATGTTAGCCCACTCTTCTTTGCAGAATTGTTTGAATTCAGCCACATTGGAGGGTTTTTGAGCATGAACGGCCTCTTTAAGGTCATGCCACAGCATCTCATTTGGATTCAGATTGAGATGTCTAGTTTGACTGTTGTTATGATGTCCTTTTTATGAAATGCTGTGTTAGTTTTTAAGCCAGATGTAATGGAATGCACACCTTCCAAAAAGTTAAACATTTGTCTCATTAGTCCACAGAATATTTGCCCCAAAGTCTTGGGGATAAGCAAGATGTTTTTTGGCAAATGTGAGACGAGCCTTTGTGTTCTTTTTGGTCAGCAGTGGCTTTAGTCTTGGAACTTTCCTATGAATGCCATATTCGCCCAGCCTCTTTCTTACTGTTGAATCATGAACACTGACTTTAACTCCCCTGGCAGTATTCCCGAGTGTAGCTCAGGGTAAAGTTTCAGCACCACAAGCGGTAACCCCGAGCTACACTCGGGAATATCTTGCAGCGCTGCTCCGGGATCTCTTCTTCACTACCTTGTCCTGCGCTCCCGGATGTCCCCCCTGCAGTGTCCCCTGTAATGTCCAGATGCCGGCATCTGTCATCTGGGTTTCGTTCTCTGTGACGTCGGGACGTACGGGGGACGGAACTGGCAGGAAATTTAAAAATGTCAAAAAGTGACATTCACTAATACACTAAAATCACATAGTAAAACATTACTGTATCAAACCATTTCACATACATTTTGTCCCGAGTGCTTTGCCCTGTCCCCTGTCTGCATTTTTACTGTTCTTTCTGCCTGGATACTGAGAAATGTCCATGGAGTCCAAAAAGTGTCCCTTTAGGTCAAAAGCGGTTTTAGACCGGCTAGAGAACAGCGATAGTAAATTAGAACTACTTGCAGAATTGAGTGATAATGATTCGTGGGGAAATTCGTCATCAGACACTGAAAACGATTTTGCGATTTTGCTCAGTGATGTGTGAACTTGGCGCTATATTTAAAATTTCAGTGTTTTTGGTTTGATTATATTTTTGAATTAAATGTATTATTATATTATTTTTTTTATGATTATTTATTAAATCATAATTTATGATTTCGTGTTTCAAGTTTTAACATACCGGGGATGTTTACTAGACTCTTGGTCGGACAGATTTCAGTGAGTTATTCCTAAAAATTACAGGCCTACAAAATAAAAAAACTACATATTTCCATGCAAAAAATGTACCGCTTTGAGCACAGAAATATGGACATAATCAGACCGCTAGGGAGGTTAACTGAGGCAAGTGAGGCCTGCAGTTCTTTAGATATTGTCCTTAATTCTTTTATGACCTCCTGGATGAGTCATCATTGTGCTCTTGGAGTAATTTTGGTAGGCTGGCCACTCCTGGGAAGGTTCACCACTGTTCCAAGTTTTGTCGATTTGTGGATAATGGCTCTCATCTTGGTTCACTGGAGTCCCAAAGTATTAGAAATGGCTTTGTAACAATTTCCAGACTGATACTACATGTCACTTATTTTGTTTCTCAACTTTTCTTGAATTTCTGTAGATTGCGGCATGATGAGTTGCTTTTTAGATCTTTTAGCATGCTTCTCTTTGTCAGACAGTCTCTTTTTTAAGTGATTTCTTGATTCAACAGGATGGCAGTAATCAGGCCTAGGTGTGGCAAATGAAATTTAACTCAGATTTCCAAAACATGTGGTTAATCACAGTTCATTCACAAATTAGCAGGGGGGTGGGGGGGGAATTACTTTTTTCACATAGGACCAGGCAGATTTTGACAGCTTTTTTCCCCTTAATAAATGAAATCATCATTTAAACACTGCATTTTGTATTTACTTGGGTTGTCTTTGTGTAATATTAAAATTTGATTGATGATCTGAATCATTCAAGTGTGGCAAATATGTAAAAGAAAAATCAGGCAAATCAGGGGAAAATACTTTTTCACAGCACTGTAGTATGAACAACAAAGAGGTCCATTTATTGATAAAGTACATCTCACCCAATTGCTAAAATTATTATTATTATTATACAGTATTTATAAAGCGCCAATAGTTCGCTCAGTGCTGTACATTACAAAGGGGGACAGAACATGCCACAGTACAATAACAATACAATGTGATACACGAGGGGTTCCAGGGCCCTACTCTTTCGAGCTTACAATCTAGGAGATCTGATATATTCTTTATCATGGTGATTTATCTCCAGAAGCTGTTCTCGGTCTTTTTAGAAAAGAAGTATGGGAATTTAAAAAAAGTAATCACACTTACCTAGATGATCCCAGCTGCAGCTGTCCCCCACCACCTATAAACGGAGAACTGATTGATCAAACATCGCTGATTGCTCAGTTCTCGGTCTCCAGTCTTCAGAGAGCTGGTGACGGCCCATCAATGGCTCTCTGCTCTGCACAACCCAACCCAGCCCCCCCCCAGTGCTCACTGCACTGGAGGGCTGGGCTGTGGAGGGGGTTGGATCTTGACTTTAAAGTCGGGATCTTTTCTCAGACTGGACCAGCTGGATGATGCCAGCAAACAGTGGGTTTTAGTCCGCTGAAAACACCACAGGAGTGCCAAACTAACTGCACTCCTGTGACCCAAAACTTTGGCTATACTTCTCCTTTAAATCTGCAACTGTCAACAGTGGGATACCTTTGGATGTTGCTATAAAGTTCCTTGCTCATGCACTTCATGTTATAAGGTGACAAATGTCTCCCTGCTTTGATCTTTCATTATCAGGAATACTTAAAGCAGCATTAACCCCCAAATGAAAAACATTTTATATATTGCTGCATAAGTGTCAATGTGGTGGCTGCATTAGCCATCTTGCGTTTTAGCATTTTTTTCCCTGTTTTCACCTGGTGATCTGGCCAGTAACACTGCCCAGGGCAGTTGCTCCTTTTGCCCCCTTTTAAATCCAGCACCACCCAGATTGACAATGCTGTTGTCCAAAGGTGCCTGTGTGCTCCTTCATCCAGAGTGAGGGCACTTTAATACAAGAGGTATCACCTGATGAAAACAGACGGAAAAATCCTAAAAAAAGAAAACTAATGCAGCCACTACAATGATTGGTAAGCTGCAATATAGTAAATGTTTGGCTTTAAGGATTAAATTTATTTAAAGTGGTCTTTGTGTAATTTAGCAAAATTAACATTTGCTACTACCACTCTGCACAAAGAGCAGACCCCCACAGATGCATAGATGCCTTATGACACCACACTCACCACTGCCTCACCTCTTTTACCTTGAAATGTACCTATTGCTGGAAAGAGACAGCTTCCTTAACCAATAGCATGATGGAAGAGATGCTAGTGGGTGGGCCAATGTAAGCAACCACAGAAGCTGATTGATGTTTGTATTATTGACTGGCCCAGATTTGGAATCCACTCAAATCGTAGGTCCTCCACGGGATAATGAAGCTGGCATTCAGCCATCTAGAGGTGTTTGCTCTTTGTATTGAGTGTCAATATACATTTTTGGAAAGGACTTGAATTACTGTGGTGCACCATTGGTTTTCACTCTTGGAAGAAAAGCTCTGATGGGTTTTCTTGACAGTGGACTCGGGTGAGTAAAAACATACAAGGTTAAAAAAAAACATTGTAGGTAGTTGGTAGGGATAAGGGTGGAACAATTATTTTGAAGATGGACCTTAAACAAGGGCTTGACAAATTTGCTTTGAATCTAGGAGCCAGCTAAAAAAGTTAGGAGCTACACAATGCGATTTGCCATGGCAATCATGGCAAAACCACACCACGTTTTAGGTGCCATTAAAAATAATGGCACCTGAACCTGCATTTTGCAAACATAGCGATTGTTCCGCAATCCCAAAATGCCCAGGTGTGAATGGAACCGCACTGGTTCACACATATGCGATGATGAATGCGCTTTCAAACTCACAGATTTGCATGACAGACTAGAAACACTATATTGCCAATCACCTCCATGGATTCACAATCACCTATATGAAATCAAGCACCTAGGCATGCAGACTGCTTCTACAAACATTTGTGAAAGAATGGGTCGCTCTCAGGAGCTCAATGAATTCAAGCATGATACCGTGATAGGTTGCCACCTGTGCAATAAGTCCATCCGTGGCGATTTCTTTCTACTATATATTTCCATGGTCAACTGTTAGTGGTATTATAAAAAAGTGGAAGCAACTGGGAACAACAGCAACTCAACCACAAAGTGGTAGGCCACGTAAAATGACAGAGCAGGGTCAGCGCATGCTGAACAGTGTGCAGAAGTCTCCAACTGTCTGCAGAGTCAATAGCTAAAGACCTCAAACTTCAGTGGCCCTCAGATTAGCACAACAAAAGTGATAGAGAACTTCATGGAATGGGTTTCTATGGCCCAGCAGCTGCATCCAAGCCTTACATCACCTAGTGCAATGCAAAGTGTCAGATGCAGTGGTGTAAAGCACGCCACCACTGGACTTTAGAGCAGTGGAGAAGTGTTCTGTGGAGTGATTAATCACGCTTCTCTGCCTGGCAATCCGATGGACGTGTCTGGGTTTGGCGGTTGACAGGAGAACGGTACTTGCCTGACTGCATTGTGCCAAGTGTAAAGTTTGGTGGAGGGGGGATTATGGTGTGGGGTTTGTATTTCAGGGGTTGGGTTTGGCCCCCAAGTTCCAGTGAAGGGAACTCTTAAGGTATCAGCATACCAATACATTTTAAACAATTTCATGCTCCCAACTTTGTGGGAACAGTTTGGGGATGGCTCCTTTCTGTTCCAACATGACGGCGCACCAGTGCACAAAGCAAGGTCCATAAAGACATGGATGAGCGAGTTTGGGGTGGAGGAACTTGACTGGCCTGCTCAGAGTCCTGACCTCAACCCGACAGAACACCTTTGGGATAAGCTTGAGCAGAGACTGCAAGCCAGGCCTTCTTGTCCAACATCAGTGCCTGACCTCACAAATGCTCTTCTGGAAGAATGGTCAAACCTTCCCATAGACACACTTCTAAACCTTGTGGACAGCCTTCCGAGAAGAGTTGAAGCTGTTATAGCTGCAAAGGGCGGGGCCAACTCAATATTGAACTCTTCGTACTAAGACTGGGATGCCATTAAAGTTCATGTGCATGTAAAGGCAGGCGCCCCAATACTTTTGGCAATATAGTGTATTATGTGTTTTTATTGAGGTGGTTCACACAGATGTGATGCATAAGCATTGTGTTATGAGTGCAATTATGAAGAGAGTCCCGTGCGAGTTTGTGTGGGGTGTTCCATGTACATATGTTTACAAAGGCATGAGGAGAAAAGTGTTCACATAGGATTGCTTATGACAGGAGTTTTTGCATTGAAGTAAATGGGACGCAATTTTTAATTGAAGTCAGTGGGAGTCATTTTTGCATTGCAGTCAATGGAAAGCGATTTTGCATTAAAGTCAAAGGGCCACAATTTTGCATTGAAGTCAATGGAAGGTGTTTTTTAATTGAAGTCAATGGGACACAATTGTGCATTGAAGTCAATGGGACACACTTTTGCACTGAAAACAATGGGAGGCATTTTTCTATTGAAGTCAATGGAATGCGATTTTGCATTGAATTTAGTAGGATGCGATTTTGCACTGAAGTCAATGGGAGGCAGTGTGTGAACCCAGGCGCCAAGACACAATTTCTAGTCGCCAAGGCAACCTGATGCCTGGGATCTATCGAGTTCTGCTTTAAGCGCTTTAAGCTGATAGCTTCAACATTAGTATCTAAAAAGCAGGATGGCAAGACCAGTGCATTGGTGCTTCAAAAACCATCAAAAGAACCTCAAGAATTAGAGAATTGGAAGAATGTTGTTATCCTTAAAATATGTGCCATACAGTATAGTGAGTATGGATAAATTACGCAATGATGGGCAGGGTTCTTCAAACCTTCTACAAGATGAAAATGTTCGTGTACAAATTTCGTATGTGCATTTAGTTGCTTAGCTGGAGTTTCTCTTTAACATAGATATAGTATTTAGGTATAAAGCAGAGAAGGTGGCAAGATACTTCTAGAAGTCCTCATTCTACTCACCAGGAAAACATTAATATTGTGAAAAATGATAAATTCTCCAAAGAAAAGAAGGAGAAGAGAAAATATATGTCACTAGACGTCAGATTTATAAAATATGGCTTTTTTCTGCAGATTGAGTTACACTCTTGTATCTGAATAATAATCCCCATGGTTTTAGCATATGTTCCTTAATTGTCTTAGAAGAACATTCCATGAATACCCTGCTGTCATATCCCATGGGCATCAGATCATCTATCACAGTGGGGACTTGCTGATTTGGTGAGTGGCTCTGAGCCATTGTTCTCCGCACTAAATCAAAGCAGTTCGGCTGATTACTTTTATCGGAATTTTTCCATGGATGAAACACATCTTAGAAAATATTTGCACTTCACCTAAAAGGTTCCAGTAAGAAGTCCGATGATTTTCAGCTCACCAAGACCTTGCAATTAGATTGCACTTGCTGTTGGCTTAGAGTAATCGAACCCGTAAAGATCATTTCTGATTTGCTGCTATAAGTTAGGGCACATTACTCTTTCTTAACTTTTTTTTTTTATGAGGCACCCAATACACCAGGTGCTACGTACTCCCTGTAGATTAAGGTTCTAAGTTTTTAGTTTTTTAAACCCTTATAAAGTGGATCTAGACTAGGGCAACTTTCTCCTTCAGACGTTATGAAAAAAAAGAGAGTTGTTTTTGATACAACACTTATAGCAGGCATTCAGAAGCTGCATTTTTTGCCCAGGTCAGTTTATTATCCATTATTATTAAATGTGCAAACTATCACTAGGCAGGAATTTCCGTTCCTAGACCCCACCCCTAACTACGCCATCAATATGCCTCTAATGATGTCAACAACCTGATAAGCCCCTGTGATTCTAATAGAACCCAGTATGCCTAGGCACCACATATGTGAAGAAGTGCTCTGGTACATCCAGTTATGAATTATTAGCTCATGATGCATTAACCTGCCGCCCACATAACAAATGCACAAATGTGTAGGTGGGATTTAACACCCACGGGCAGCACATGTGCATTGTTGGGTGGCTGATGTTTCTGTGTTGAGAGCATGCTCACTGCACTCTCCCAGCACAGAGACTGGGCTATCAAAGATAGCTCTTGGTCTGGACTAATAATTGGTAGCCATCAGGATCAGTTTCTGATCATGTGACCACTGTGACAGCTAATCACAGTGGTCATATGATCGCTGATCAAAGCAATGCACCTGACCGCAGGTTTGGTGCAACTTAGTGAGAAACTAAGCGCCTTCTCTTTACATGCAAAAAAGTGATATATACTGCCTTACACAAACAGTGTATCTTCTATACAATAAAATATAAAATAATTACTCAACCATGTGCCAGCAAAAATAAAAATAATACAAAAAATGTTAGCTGCCCCTTGAAGTGGAAAATCACTTGTGACCATATAATAAAATAAAGTATGGCGCTAAACATACATATTAGGTGAACAATATTCCAGTTGAGATAGAAACATGTAAAAACTTAAAAGTTATATAAACTAATGAGTCCAAAGTCAAGAACAAAAAAAAACAAAAGTCCCACACCAGGTTGTAGATCAAAAACAATGGTACATAATCTTCTGGTGCCAAATAAATTGCTTCATGCAGATCCTTTATGCTCCACCACCATAAGACAATATATTGCACTCACCAACCATCCATGACCTCTTAATTAAAAGAAGGTCTGATGCTCTATGTGTCCCCAAGAGTTTGGAACATCAATGTATATCTTCTCAATGGTCTCCCAATTTACTCCATAGCCAAGGTTAGCAAGAATCAGAAGGAGAAATGTCTCATAGTATAGTAGGTTTATTGAAAAAAATGAATAAAATCAACCAAATATGCACTCACATTAGTTGGTGACCAATCCTTGGCACCAATACACTCAGCTCAGGATGCTAGCACCGCTTGACAGGAAAGTCGGTGTGCATTCCATAAACCGGAAACGGAAGTTATCTTACTGGGCCCAGATGTGGCTAGACGCGATTCTGCCTCTATATGTTTCGCCTATCAGGCATCTTCAGGAAGCTCACGTCTACCATTTTTCCTGGGTCTTTTATGGAATGGAGGGGATGTAAGGAACCTGCATTCTGACTTCATTTGCCTATGTGTCTCTCTATGCACTCCAGTCCGCTACCTGCTTCTCTGCACCAGTCCATTTCCCCTGTGAGCTCCAGCCAGACCAATTATCAGCACCTCATAATGGTGCTGATAATATGCATAATAATTAGGTTTTTACATGTTTCTATCACAGTTGGAATATTGTTCACCTAATATGTATGTTTAGCGCCATACTTTATTTTATTATAAGGTCAAGTGCAATGCTTTGGCCAATCACGGTACAGGAAGATGTCATAAGGGGGTGGGGTCACCTGGCTGACATCACCTAAAAAGCACAAAAGGGTAAGTGAGCACTAAAGGTACAATAAGCTGCTGAAACACCAAAAGGTACCAAAAAACCTCCAAAGCATCAATATAAAGTTGGGTGCAGTGCTAAAACTTTAAATGAACAAAACCACATATATAAAAAATGTTCCATATATCAAACACATAAATAAAACATAAATAAAGTGACTCGTGACAAAGTGCTAAATATATCATTAAAAATGAAGGTGACTCAGTGGTAACATATAAAACTGTCACTGTGCAGTGACCAGTAGTACTGGAACTGACGCCTAGTCTCCTGAGAATGTTCCGGATCTTGTTCTCCAGCAATGTTCTTGGGCAGCAATGAGCTGGACTCATCGGGTTCCTCTGCAGAATTCCGGGAGAACAAATGTTTCTGGAGGAAGGGAAGGATTCCCTCCCCTTCCTCCAGAAACATTTGAACCCAATGAGTCCAGCTCATTGCTGCCCAAGAACATTGTTGGAGAACAAGATCCAGAACATTCTCAGGAGACCAGGCGTCGGTACCAGTACTATTGGTCACTGCACAGTGACAGTTTTATATGATACCACTGAGTCACCTTAATTTTGAATGATATATTTAGCACTTTGTCACGAGTCACTTTATTTATATGTTTTATTTATGTGTTTGATATATGGAACCTTTTTTATATATGTGGTTTTGTTAATTTAAAGTTTTGGCACTGCACCCAACTTTATATGGTTGACATCACTGATTGGCCCCGTCCCTTAGACCTGTCTGGCCCGGCGCAGCTGTCAAATGATAGGAGCCCTTTTTCTTTTTTTGGGTCAGCAGGCATCGTGATTGACCTACATCGGAGGACATTTTCTTTATTTTTCTTTTTAATAAAGAACTTGTCAAAGACTGTCTTCTGTCATTTTTACACTACACATTTTTTTTTGTGTGAATGAGTAGCTGTACCATGTATTCATTCAGA